GGGATACCAAAAAAAGTAAACTACTACAGTGGAACTCGGATTCAACGAGGTCGCCGGGCCTGACGTAGAATCTCGTTGAATCCGAGTGTTCGTTATAGCAAACATGAGGTTTCGTTTACTGGCACTAAACAAGTAGTATTTATAAAGAGAAGTCACAAGTAGTGCCTGAAATGCCTGCATATTATGAGCTGTGTAAAAAAGGCCCGATTCGTTCAAATACACACGTCTGAGTCATCTGGATTGTTTACCAAAAAGTTGTGTTGCTGTGTAGAGCCTAGCATACGGCAACTTTTGATTCCATAGACCAACGCAAAATTCATTACGTAGATCTACGTCAAGACTAGCTTATTCATTGTAATAACGATCAGTTGCCGAGGGGAAAAAAGACTGTGACGCGTTTGTATCTGTAACGTTCAACGCCCTGACATGTACACACTGACACACAGCCACATATGGCAAGGCCGCCCATACGACCCCGACACACGCCAGAGTAGACACGTGTGTGTGCTAACAACGCATGTGTTGGTATGGGGGGAAAAACCCGCTGATTGGTCGCTTGCAATCGGCTAAGTGAATAATGGTTCACAATTCAGGTGCAATGGATGGTTTCCAGGAATAGATAAAGTTCGTTATGGGAGAAAAATGAACAAAGCCACGTCTTCGGGGGCTGTTCACCCTAAAGCGACCTCGTTAAATCCGAGCTCGCTGATTTAAGTGCTCGTTGAATCCGGGTTATTTTTTTTATTTTAAAGAAGAAAAAAAACCGGGGAATCTATCTCATCTCGTTGAATCAGAGTTCTCATTGAATCCGAGCTCGTTAAATCTGAGTTCCTCTGTACTACTACAGTTCATCGCACTTTATCGAACGCTGCCAGTATTGTGGAAATAGAATGATTATTTGTGTGTGGGGGGGCGTACTTCTTTTTGATAGCCATTCTTTAGCCCAGATGGTCCTCCTTCTAGATTTCTTTTTGGATTTAAGAACAAAAATGCTACGGAATAATCCACGTAACTTGCTTTAGCTATTTCGTTGACGTTTTGACCTAGATATCTAGCTACAACAGCCCGAGGACGGATAAAAAACTGTACGTCTAAATGGAACTTCTCTCGTCGACAATCTGTCAGTTTACCGATGACCCACACCGAGTGTCCGTCGGTTAAACTGTCAGTCTGTCGATCAACGAACTGTACGTCTAAATGGGGCTATAGGCGTTTTAAATAACAGGGTGTTTACGTACACGGTACGCGGACACCTAGCCTCAGTGTCTTCGTACACGGTAACCGGCAACAGGGCACGTAGTCTCAGTGTCACGTACACGGTAACCGGGCAGTTAAGAATTCCAAGTTCAGTTTTTGTCATCCGGTGTTGCCTTCAACTCCAGCCCTCCCCTGACTGTACTTCTTTTTTTTTTTAAATCAATAATTCTCCTATTCCGGAGCCCTATACTTCGTAGCGCACAGACTTTAAATGAACTTTGGTGACCCGAACCGATACTCACAATGTGATGCGAGAGCACAGGTTCACTGACCGGTAGGTAACGATGACGAGCCCGACAAGATGCGTGTATAACTTTCTTTTTTTAAATTTCAACAAGTGACAGCACTAGACGAATATTGGTTAATTTTCATTCTGGTGGGTTACCGTGTACGTAGATACTGAGACTAGGTGCCCGGTAACCGTGTATGTAGACACATCAAGGAGTTTAGAACTAATGGAGCCTCCTCTCTCTCTTCGCGGCGCCACGAGCAGTACGCCGCGGTGGGGATCAAATATGGCCGCCGACTGTGGGCTAAATCACGAACTGTGGCGTTTCTTTTTTACAACAATAGAATTAAACCGAGTATAGTTCTATCTAACAAGACTCAAACTCTTATTCACCCCACCCTACCCTCTTCCCTCATCTGATATGGTTTGGTGTTTCTTTAACATAGAAAATGTTCATCATTATTGTTGTAGTACTTGTAGAGTATTGATTTCATATTCTAATGGAGCCGCTAGATATCTGCATTTAGACTACAGTAGCATCTAATTTGCACACATCAAGGAAAGCAATATCTTTAATTAAAATGTATAATATGGATATACATACACACTTAATAACTATATATATACACATAATAATTATATGAATAAGAATACTTTTTAAAAATTGAGTATCTCGGTCTTTCTGCTGGGGTGTTGTATCCCTTTCAGCCTGGGTTGGCCTTGGCATGTAGCGCCGGGGCCAGCCACTTATGAATATTAATTATTTAAATTGTGTTGCTGGGGGCATAGAAACACTTTCATTCAAATTTTTTAAAAAGAAAACAACTCAACTGTGAAAACTTCGGTCCACTGCAGCATCATATCGGTTCTTACACTTACATACAACACAGGTGCAAGGCATTTTTACTAATTGACTTGCCTAATCCCAAGGACCTCGGAATAAAACCTTCTTTCTAGATTTCAGTGCCTCAGTCGGGCATTCGCGCTGCGCAGGTAGCCCACAGTTCCGCCGCGAGAGAGGGCTCCAATCAGGCGTGCGGTGCCGCCCACAGAGCATCCTCCATTACTTTTAATCTCCTTGAGACACATGCATCATGTACGAACAATAGGCCTATTCACGCGCGCACACTCACACGCACACACACTCACGTACACTTCACACACCTACTTTCTTATCACACGAATTTCCGGTTATAGCTTTTTAGAGTACGCTCAGTAGGCTTGAGCTGGGCCGATCAGGACTGGGGCCGATACCATGATTTACGTGGGCCTATCGGCTCTGTGCTCGCACCATCTCGTATTAAAAATTCTGTTAAAATTAAAGCGTTGATGTATTTTTGCCCTTAAATTGCAAGAAATTGCGAAAATAGCAATTAATCTTATCGATTTCAGATCACCAAGGGATCTTTAGCATGCGCAACTTGTACACTGGACCTCCCGAGACTTTTCGCCCTTGTCCAGAAGGCTAGGTGTAAATCTTTCCTACCAAAAGAACAGGGGTGTGGCTGAAAGACAGCAGTAAGAAGGAGCCAAGAAGTAGCAGCAGAAAGAGTCAGGAGCCAAGAGGAAGGGGCAAAGGAGGTGAGGGGGTGAGGGCAGAAAAAGAAGACGAAAGCAGACAACAGAAGATTGCTCGAGAGCAGGAAAGGAGGTGAAAGGGGACAATTTTAGAGAAGAAAATTTTTCGGCCGCTACCTGGGACCTTTGAATGAGAGGCCAACACCTTAACCTCTAGGCCACGAGAGCCCCCCACTGGGATGTTGTGTCCTCCCCAGCTTGGGTAGGCCTTGACAGGCAAGGTTGAAGCCCGCTTGATCTAAATTGTGTACAGGGGGATGTAAATGACACCTACAATAAAAAAAGTTCGTAGTAATCAAGTTTCTGAAGACGCTGAGGCGGGAGGGTCGCTGTGCGAAATAGGGAGAAGGCACACAATCTGGAAGATAAACAAATCTAGCCAAAATGACGGCCTGTCAATTAATTGAAAGAACAACCTCAGCTGCCCATTCATTTGACAAACTTGATTTTTTTTTTTCCACTTTCCATGCTGTCTGAAAGTGAAAGGACACACAAAAAGCTTAAATGCACCCTTGCAGAATGTCTTCCTGCTGAAATTATATATGCATAACTCGCAACCATAAGGTCGTGGGTTCGAATCCCGTATGCCAAGGGCCTGACGTGTCCTTAAAAAAAGCACTTCCCATGGACTTGATTCACTTCACCACTCACCCAGGCAACAAACAACCAAATGTGATTTTATGTTCAAAGACTTAAATAGTAAAATTTTACGGCACTTGCAACACAATATAGTCATATAAGTGCTGAAGATTAGGTGTTACAAGAAAGAAACAAACACAAAAAAGGAGGAAAGATAAGGACGACAGATGTTTGATAGGAAAGAAGAAGCAAACCATATAAGAGCACCGGCCAACCACCCACAGATTAGAAGTGTCCATCAGAATATCTGAACCTATTTTATAAACAGGAAATCTCTTAAATCTTTATTAATTATTTCAGCTTTACATTAAACAATTTTGGTGGTTCAGTGGTGTCTTCCCTAAAAAAAAAAATTGGCATGACGGGCAACAGGTCAATGAGAAATTTGGAAACAGCGAAAACAAACTAAATATTTCAAATCTTGGTCACATACAGTTTATTCTGTTCTTAAAACACTCCCCTTCCAACATCCAAACATTTGATAGCCTGCAAAATTTGAAGACCAGTACATCAATAATCATAAAATACAACTTGATGTTTATAATTCTTATATTGCCATTCCTATCTTCAAGTCTAAATTTACAACCGCTTAAAAGCACTGGACAATACTTTCTCTCATGTTATCCTAAAACAAAAACCAAGACCATAAGAACTTTTTTAGAACACTACTTTTCCATAAACATTGGTGAAGTCAGAATTCTAAGACTCCATGGACTAATTTGAATACTCCTGTTCAAAACTTTGGACAAGTTCAACTACTGCCAGATATCAAGTTTTTCGGTGGACCTCTAAAGTGACTAAAAAAGTGTTTGCTCTGGGCATTTATGCGTAAGATCCACAGAAATGCCACTTTTTATGCCCTATTGCATGAGAGAACAGAAGTCAGTACCAATATGCAGACAAAATGAACACAAAAAGCTTACACAACAGGTCAATAGGCCTGACAGAGGAAAGACATGAGCAAATCTACACCAGATAAAAGATTTCAATAAATTTACGAGAATGTAAAATCATCTATATGAAGCTGCTATTACATATATTATAAGCTGTCATATGGGCATCTCGCACAAGCTCTACTAGAAGAAAGGTCAACCCAGTTGTCCACATTGGGAGCAATTTTGATTTCATCAAAGCACAAATACACAATTAATTTTTAAAAACATTCAAACTATTTTCTGTGACTTCCCCCTTGTAAATCTCACCAATGTTTGCACAATAACAGATCTTCCAACGGTGCCAGTGTAACAATCATTTTGTGTTGTGCAACAGGTACAACAAGAATACACCAACAAGGGCACAACCATTCTGCTCTGCAATCTCGAACAAAACCGACGCTACAATAGCTGCATAACAATGAGAGAGACTGCATGACAAAATAGAATGAACACCAAGAATAAGATAGATCATTAGCAGAGGAAAGCAACCCCCCCCCCCCCCCCCCCGACAGAACCCAAAGCTTTGAGCACCAAACAAACATTTAAGCAGTAAAAAAAAAAAATAATTTTTGCCAACCCTCCTTCCCTGACCTCTTTTTAACCTCAAGAAGTTAAAGGTGACTGAGCAAACAAGAGTCAAAAACCACTGCAGGTGTTTTAAATTTTAATATCCACATTATCAAACAATAACTGACAACAAAAAAGGAGACCATAAGAGGCCTGACATCAAACTTGTGAGGAACAACAAATTGTTCCGAAAGATTTCCAAGAAAATTATTAGCAAAGCCTCAGTGCAATCTAAGCGAAAGTAAATCACTGGACATTGAATGCCTTGAGAAAATGGATACTTTAAAATAAACAATACTGTATTGTGTTTCTAAAATATTTTATACTTTTAACTTCCATGACAATATAATGAAATGTTATGCAAAGCTGGACGTCAAAGCAAAACATTTAGACAGGTCTTACCAAAATTTTATTTTTCAAGGGATTTCTAAAATTCACGACGATGGTAACGATCTGGATCATAATATGAGGTAACAACAACACGATTAGAAAACTTGCGACCAGTCAAGGCAGCTTGAGCTCTCTGACATTCTATGATTGAAGTGAACTCCACAAATATCTGGGGGAAAAAATGAAATAAAAGGTAAATTGACACCATTTCAAAGTGTGGATAGGGCTAGATAAATTGTGGTAGGTGAGGAAATATTTCTAAAAATGAAATCTACGATAGTTACTTTACAGGACTGATATTGACATTGCATACTTTCCAGAATTTGCAGCAATATAAGTTTACAGGAAAGGACACAATCTAGGGGAAAATAAATAAACAAACTCTTCCCTCCAAAATTGTGAAATAAAAAGGGACTTTAGAACACTACATTTTTCCAAACCACCAATAATTCTCAGTAAAGAAGCACCCTTTACTTTAGTTTTAGTAAGAATGTTATGGCACTTGCAACATAATTAGGTCATATAAGTGCCAAAGATTAGAGACATTACAAGAGAGTAACAAACACAAAAAAAGAATAGGAGAGATAAGGACGATAGATGTATGATAGGAGAGAAAGAGTAAACAATACCGGAGCATCTCTTACTTTACCACTACTGTACTTGACTGCTAGCAAACATAACAATGACTACATTTCAGATTGGAACAATAAATAACATTGGGGAAAAAAATTTAATGTTTTAAATGTAAGAACAATAGACCACATCCAAGCGTTTAGCAAGCATCCCCTGTACACCAACTGTACATGTTGAGTACTCACTTTGCCCAAACCTGGAACTTCCACCCCTCTGATTGGTCTCGGTATCTCCAAGCTGACAACAACTCCATACTTGCCACATTCTTCCTTCACATCTTCAACAATGTCTGCAGAATGAGAAGATCAAACACAGTAAGTACAAAAATTCCAGTCGGACCAACAGCCACTGGTTGGTTTGAGAACAATGATAAATAAAAACATGTGATGACAACTAGAGCAGGAGTACCAGGCGTCACAACGAGTGAGTTTACTTTATCATGCGACCTTGCATCATTTTCACAAATGAAAACTGACAATTGACCATAATTAACAATTGCCCTCCCATAACCCAACCACACACACACACACATATATGTGTGTTGACCATAGGACAACCCTCTCCAAGAACTAAATGGGTGGTTACACAAAAACACAGCGTAATTATAGCGATCTGCCCCTGTCATCCTGCAGTACATCGACTCAACTTCAAAGACAAAAGACACAAAGCCAGATCTGCCACCCTATGAAATCTCAAAATCAGGACCTCAGGGGAATAAAAATTAGGATTTGGTGAAAAAAATCGGGATCAACAGCAAATCACCAAGGTGACTGGCATGCTGACTTAAAAATTTTCCAGGGTGTCCATAAATATATATGCCCTCGGTGTGTGTGTGTTTTTGTTGGGTTTTTTAAAATTTAAACCCTGAAGCATCACGTCAGGCACTCCTAGTCCAAGTGTTTAACCCCCCCCAATAAGTCCTGAAAGACACTTCAATTAGTTTTAGTAGAGGTTTTACGGCGCTCGCAACTGCATATGGTCATATGAGCGCCAAGGGGTGGATGTTAACAGAGAAGTCCTTACAGGGAATCACACTTACTCTGCTCACCTCTCTAGCTTCAGTAGCACAAAGTCTGTTTCCACTATCAAGGCACCCCGGAAATAGCGGGTCACAAGAGTGCAACAAATATACAAAAGGAAGCAGAGGAAAACAACGATAGTGAGGATTAGAAGAAAAAAAAACAGCAGTTCCCTGTTGTAGTTCAGGCACAGTTATGAGCATGACATTGTTGGATCAGCCCATTTACAATTCTACTGTGCATTAGAATGAGAAATGGGAATGCCCCAAAGACAGTTCAGTCAGTGGCACCGCCCCGAAGGGTTGACGAGCGCGAGTTGTTCTAGGCTAATGACAACAGCTGACCAACAAAATGTGTGAGCCTAAAGACAGGTAGCAAAAGTTGGATTTTGACCATTTTGAGGTAACGGGTTGTGCCTAAGAGGAAATTCAATGCTGAACAGCGAGTCTTTGAATTTTGATAGCTCAAGTAGTTTTTGAGATATTGCACATTTCGAGAGGTAGGGTATAAAATTTAATTTTGAGAAAATGAGCTTTTAAGTCTAACAAACGTGAGTACACGTACAAACTAAAAAAAAAAAGATTTTTTAAGTGTATTTATTCATGGAAAATTCATTTCCAATTTGGCATTCAGTTGACATTAATATCATGACTGGAACTCAATGGTAAAACATAGCAGGGAAGAGAAAACGTGCTTCAAGAATAGATTTTAACACCTTTTAAAAGCAGTTTTCATTATTTGTTTTTATTATACCCTACCCTCAAAATAAAATATTTAGAAGTCAAATCAATGAAAACCCTTTGAGCATATAGTTTAAAAAAAGGTGGATTTATCATTATTTTATGGAAACATTTCGGTAAAAAAAGTGGTTTCTGTCATTATCAACCTATAGCTCAAAATGGTCTGCAGCGACTCGGAACCTTTCTCTAGCCGCACACACAAATTATGTACCAACAAATCTCTGATCCCTCATATGTGTTCAGACTAAAGCAACCAAAGCGGCCAAGTGTTTGTCTCGTCAGCGCAGTATTTATGTAAAGGTTAGAACGACTGTCGCTTGTCCAAGTCTTGTTTTGAAAGTAACAGCAGAACTACGAATATTATTAATTATTTGTATGTCGCAATTGTAACAGCTATCAGGCTATTACAGTAGTCTCCGCCTAAGATCCCACCTCTTACAATCCCGCTGTTTTAAGAAAACAGAATTTTTACTATACAAAAGTCACCCTTAAAATCCAGCTCTGATTCACTCTGAAGGTCTACATTCAGCTAAGATCCCGCATTTCAGATCATAATTTGCGGAACAAAAGCTCAGGCGGGACAGCCGATCCACCAAGAATGAAAAGTTGAGATCAATAAACTGTCAGTCGGGTCAAAAATCAGCCACAATCGTGAATGTGATCACATACACGTAAAACTCGATGAAGCGATACAATGTTTGCCCCAGATGGGATCACATCGGGGTGTGAACTGACCAACACGTTTGTTTTCCCCGAACTTTGCACTCACACCTAAGGTCTCCCCCTAAACTTACATTACTCGTTGAGTGGGTAGGGCCTACACGTTCGCTCCAGGCGGGATCACATTGAACTGTGAACTCTTTTCCCTGACCATTGCAGAAGTTGTCTCTACTCCCGAATTTGCTAGACAGACTGAATTTTAATTGGTGTGTTCACGTGTAGTATACGGTAATGGTGTGTAACGACAAAGGCGGTTGGGGGAGAACTCGGTCAGAGATGGAAAGCTATAAATTTTCGACAGGTAAGGGGGAGGGGCAACTGGAAAAACGTAGATGTTGAGACTCATTGACAGGATAATAAGTGAAAATGGCACGCCTCATCCTACTATGCACTGTGATAGGTCATCAAGGTTAACCACTCTTTGCTCGCCATACGTCATAAACACACCAAGCGGTCACGTCAGTTCATTTTAGAGTGGAGGGAGACCATTTTACAGATTGTGAGCCTTAGCATGGGTCACCATAGATTCTCCCCTGGGTTCGTTGGTTAAGATCCCGGTTCGCCTAAGATCCCGCATTTCCATTCTCCCGAACACCGGGATCTTAGGCGGAGACTACTATATTGGAGAATTCTGAGTGCGGGCAAAGATCAAACACAACTTGGGGCGAGTCAACTATTAAATCCGGCATCGATATTTCGGAAAATAATGCTCTGAGTTCCTACTGATAAAAAAAGTTAAACGGGTGCTTCCCACGATAGAAAAGAAGGCAGAGTAAGTTTTTAGAAAAATCTGGCACAACAGCAGACTTGAACAAAACATCGGGATACACACGATAGAATTCGGGAAAAAAGGGATGCATGAGATTTGGGCGAAAATTGATATATCTCGATTAAATCGGAATGAGTGACAGGTCTGCAAAGCATTTCATTACAAAGGGATTGTTATTTATCCATGAGTGAGCAGTGTGCACGTGCGAGTGTCTGTGCATAAGGACATCAAACCAGAAACACCTTCCAAAAAGGCCCAAAAATATTGTAGGGCACCCCAGTTCAGTGGTCCGGACATCTCACTCACAATGCTAGGAATGACTCCCACCCATGGCGTTCTTTACTAACAGGCCTTCCCAGCGTACGGCTGGGGTCTCGGACTGGGGGCCTACGGTGTTTTCTGTAAGGGAGGCAACTGAAACATTAGACCCCCTTTCCCCCCCCCCCCTGATTCCCGAGTGTCGCGTCGCCGCTTAGTCAGCCAATTACACTACTGACCTAGATAGCAGACTGACGTATCTGCAAAAAAATGTAATTAGTTTTTGCATCTTCGTTTAAATGGACGCCTATACCCATTCTGCTTCTTGTATCTGCACTACAAATAGAATATTTCACTGAGGCAAACAGACATAACTGAAGGGCCATGCCCATATTATTTCCAATGGCAGCACGACGTAACTCAAAATCATAATAAGTGCAGATACGTCGCTCTGCCTTGGCACGGCAGAGTCTTGCATAGTGTGTAATCTAATCCTCAGTGCAAGTGCAAGTGTGAGCTGTGTACTGTGTAAAATCAGTCCTTTCTCGCTATCTAGCAAGTCTTTCGCAAGCCCGGCAAAATCAAATGTTCAATTGATTCAAAGCGTCTTGTGCATTAAGCGGTAGATTTATTCACCAATATTTTCATTGTACTGGATACAATAGCTCTACGTGGTGTTCTTTGTTCATGATAGAAATGTGAAGTGTGGATTCAATAGGTGTTATCGTTCCAGTAGTCAAGAAGAGTCTCTCTCGTACCAGACTCTTCATTCTGTCTTTCTTGTTGAATCCAACCTTGCATTTCATGATCACCAACAACAGTGTGCAAACTCATAAAAATATTCTTAGATTCACTGGTAAACATTTGGTTTTCAAAGCATGTGTGGTAGTTGTCATTTGGGTTTCCATTATGGGCAGGAAATGATGGGTTTTTGGTTGCAGAACAAATTATGGATCTAATTCAGAGAAAGCGAGTTCAAGTGAAAACAAAGGGTCTGTGTTTAGATTCCCAAAAGATGGGATTGAAAGAAATGCATGGATTTCTGTGATATCCAATGCGAAGTTATCAGTTTCTAAAGAAACTGTTGTGTGTGAACTGCACTGGCCAGATGGTTATGGAAGTGAAGTTGTTAAACTTTGTAGACGGTTACTTCAGTCCTCCCATCAATATGTCATAGGGCTCAGGAGGGACCTACTTTATTAACATTCAGCAAATTGTGGAAAAATCAAAATTCACAGATCAAGACTACTTCTATCTCTTGATGCAGACCTTTCAAACCTTGAAGAACCTGGTCATTCCTGCTCCGATTGCAATTTTAACATTGAAAAGACGAAAGGGCTTCAGAAACTGTGGACAATCTAATTGAGTTGGAGCAGTCACTTGGTACAGAAACAAAATCTGTGCTGGTTTATATTGCTGGCTATGCTACTCGCAAAGACAAAGATCTGGACGAAATTTTTCAACTCGGACAGACAACCTTCTACTACTAAAAGTACGGCCACTACACAAGCTCATTGGATAGGGACGGCTTGAATATCCCTTCTGATAGAGCATGTCAGTGGACCTTTGCTTTTCTTTTGTTCAATATTGTTGATGACTCTTTTTGCAGAACATCTTTCAGCAAGTTAACCATGTCTGACAGTTTTGAGATCGAAATGCAAGAGAAACACGGGCGGATTCTGGCACACATCTTTTTTTTTAAAAACTATTGTTACGCTTCCACTCCTCGCTCTTCAAAAGAACCTGCATTGAAAATGTTGAAATTATCATAATTGAATACACATACACTGCAATCCACTGAAGAAGGAAACTGATACTAGAAGAAATTTTGTGCAAAATGTTAAGTTTAATAATTGATGTGATCAATGTCTAAAAAAAAAAAACCCACAGCAGAAAGCAACGCAACAGTCCAATTGGAATGTTAAATCATACATTGTTCATTGTTCGATATGTCCCACCCTTATTTCACCTGGATACATGGATTATACTACAGAGAAACATAAAACTGGCTTGGTAAGTAGGCCCCTACTCATTTATAAGGCATGTACAGTAAATAGATCTAGTCATGTCTTGTTGACGTTGATTTCGATTTTTTTTCCAAATTGCATAACAGATCTAATAGTAATAGGGCAAAGTAGTAAATAAATAATTATTAAGCTCTTTATTTTTATGTCACTTAGGACTAAATATTGTAATTACCTTTGGAAACAATGCTCAGAGATTGAATATGGAGTCGACTGGATAAATAGACGTTAATACTTAAATGATATAGTAGGCTCCCAGTCTGAGACCCCAGCCGCACGCTGAGAAGGCCTGTAGTAAAGTGCGCTATGCTCCCACCCCACCAGGTAGGATGTGAGTATCCCCTGGAGTAAGACGTCACCATACTTTCCGCAGTTTAAAAATACTACTACATAATTAGCACAAAACAAAATAAATGAAACAATATCTCAGTGCTAAAACAGATTGCCATGAGGCAGTTTTCAAAGGGGATTGAAAGGGGAAACTGGAAAGAGCAGGTCAGCCAAGACAGCAGGGCTGCCAACCTATCTCCATGGTTTTTAGTAATGAACATGGAGAAAATTAGTAATTTCCGATGAAAATTCGCAATAGTGCTCTCTCATTTTTCAAATTACTATATTAAAACGAACAATGCTTCTTCTCCTGTACGGTATTATTGTGGGCATGGCTAACTCGCGCGAAGAGGGCTAGCTGTTCCTTTTTTTAGGGGGACGGGTGATTTAGAGATAGGCGGTTTTCCGACTATAGGCGGGTGATTTAAAGGTCTGCACTAAGACTTGTAAAATTAAAAAAAGAACCCAAAATATTTTTTTATAGCCAAAAAATCAGCTGACAGTAAAAATCGTAATAAATCGCCTTACGATCGCAGTGAGGCTAAAAAATCGTAATGATTACGAAAAAAACGGAATGGTTGGCAGCCCTGAGACAGTGGTATGTAGTGGGTTACTGTCTGAAAGCAATTGAAGACAAAAATAGTACCATCAACTTACACGATAATATGGCAAAGTTTGCCTCCTTTAGAACTATTTCATTGCCTTTAATTCATTAAACCTAAAGAGATCCTTTCATAAAACACATCACACAATTAAACACTGTGTATGATAAATAAACAATAAAGAACATACCTTCATACTCGTCTTCATCCTCTAATTCTTCTGGCGTTATCATGTTCATCAAACAAAGCACCTCTGTGGCTGGGCCTGCTCCTTGGTTCAGGTTCAAGCCAGGTACTTGTAGCTGCACAGGTGCTTGCTGTAGAATCAAAAGTTAAATAAAATATAGGGTGTTTTCTCACACACACACCCCCCCTTCACATAATTAGATCATTTAGGAAATGGGCTTCCACCCTGCCTGCCAGGGCCAACCTGGTCTGAAATGGACACAACATCCCATCAGAGACAGTGATACTCAATAAAAATTCTTCCCACTCAGGAATCAAACTTGGGTCTCCTGCATGCGATGGTGAGGTGCCATCCAGCTGATTGAGGAGAAACTCACCTCCCTGCCAGTTTTTTTAAGCTACAATGTAACATGAAACTGCCATAACACTGCTTACAAAACAGGTGTCACACCTCAGACTCACACTCTTCATTTTATATATAAAATTTTGATTTCAATTTGATACACATCAAATCAATAGTCTATTTACGACCTTCCATTAACGAAGCGTTATCTGTGACAAACTCACAACATCTCATTGGGTAATAATACTGGCTCTTCAAGATATGCTTTATAAAAAATCAGAAACAACTGAAGTGCCAATGGAAATCAATCCAATAAAAAATCAGCCTTACAATCTTAAGGGATGTCATATTAGTTTTATGGGTTGAGACACTTTTAAATTAAAAAAAAAAATTTTAAGAAAAGATGTAGAAATGAAAAACTTTCCCACTAGAGGCTACAACATACCTGTTGTGCATTCTTGGCCCCAACACTGGCCCTCTGTACAATGAGCTTTTTGTCTCCAAGCTGCATGCCATTTAATCCTGCGCAGGCCTGGGGGTATCAAAAGAGAAACCTTTTTGAGGAACATGATCAACGTGTCAAACACATTTCAACCAAAATACATAAATACACCAGAAATTAATAGAAAGGTACTTCAAATTTTTTTCTCTTTTAACTCACTGACTACTGTTCTCGTCACAGGTACGGGACAGGCCGATGGTTCGCCGGTATGGATCCTGTACCCCCGACCGGGTGGACTTTGCGATTTTGTTCCTTATCTTGTGCTCCCGTCACATGTACGGGAACAGACTCCAGTGCTAGTTTTGCCACTTGTTTCGTTTAGTGCCGAGTTTGGCGGAAGTTGCATGGCAACTTTTAAAGTAATTGAAGGTGAAGGATAGTCACCCAACCAGAGCTGAACAGACCGGACTAACACTACGTTTTTTCTATACAGCTGATAGTAATTTGACAGTCGCGTCGAAGAGGTCACATGAACAAGAATCACATAATTTAGCTGTTTTCGATACTTCCAGGGTCCCCACCAAATCCTCGAAATTTTCTTCACGACCCCAATTCAAGGGAAAAATCAGGCCGCCGCGCGTCAAGAATGGTCCCCAAAAAGCCCATCAATCAAAAATCAAAAATCAAAATGTCTTTAAATGAATGCAAATGTACATTTTGTAGTAAAGTCTCTTCAAACGATAGATGATTATAATGCTGGGTGACTGCCAACCCAGCTTCTCAATTTTCCAAGGAAGGGGCCTCATCCATTTTCCAGGGGCATGTTACATAACAATGACAGCACGTGCTCCATTTATATGTAATATATTATGTACATGTTTGTGAATACACACACGCACACACACACACACATGTAGGTACACTATATATCCAGTCAGTGTGGCACTGGAATCTAGTGTGACTTTGGTATTTCAGTCTGTTCTTACTTATTTTTATATTTTCCCCTCATCATATTAGCATACATAAACTATAGGCCTTAATAAAAAAAATGAATCCTGTTGTGAGACTGAGAAAAGACCTAGAACTAGAACTAGAACATCGACTGTCAATAACCAGTCTGGGTGTCATGATTCATATAATAAACGTGAAGACGAAAACTATTGCTCAAGCTCAAAGTAGAGTAATAATATTAGTGTAATAACTTGAATGGCTCAAGTAGATCTAGATATCTAGACCTATTCAGTGCAAGAGGTGTAAGAACTTCAGTGACACTGAAAATCTGCCAATCTTGAACAAAAAGCTAAAATATAGATATAAATTACAATCACCCAATCCAATGAAACACGAACACTTGAGTTCAATAACAAGGCATGACGGATCCCGATTCCACGCAAGGCCTGCACCAACGCACGCTTTGCAGAGCTCTTATAGTAAGCTAGATCTAGTTCTCAAAATTCTAAATACTAAAAATTTGCTTCCAAGGTAAGTTTTTTACCTCTAATTTTGCCTTCAGCTCCCCCCCCCCCCCATCATCCCCTTCCCTGAGTGTACCTTATTAAAAAAAGCAATACACCCCCCCCCCCCTCCGGAGTCCTATACTTCACAGCGCGACCGCCGGTACTCACACTCACAGGTTCATTGACCGGTCACGATGGCGAACGCGACAAGACGCTTGTAGGCCTATAACCTTTCTTTTCTTTTCTTTTTTCACAAGTGACAGCAGAGGACAAATTTTTAATATTGATTTTTCAAGGCGACACAGCGTTCGTAACGCACAACCTGCATGTTACAAATGTTGCGTTATCTATCCGACTATTACCGGGAAATTTCTGGGTGGTAACGAAAGCGAAAGTAGATCTTGATTCTTCCCGATCAAGCCTCGGTGTCACACATACACTTCCGCCTACCGCCATAGTGGTTCAATTAGGTTCCCTCTTCATGATTCATCAATCAAACTGTCTAGATAGCTTCACTACTAATATTAGACAGGCCCTATCTTTTCCCGACTTACCAACCCATCACAAAATTCCCGACTTTTCCCCAACCTGGTGGGACCCTGTACTTCTGTTCGTTTTCCAAGTTCTAGTGACTCAGAATATGATGTTTCTGAAAGTTAGGATCCTGGATATGTACCCAAACACGGCTCGAGTTGTAGTTTAGGACTAGATCTGGCACTAGTACTGGTGTTCTGAATCAACACACAGCCCTTCTTTTATATTTTCACCAAACACTCACGCAGGCATACAAATCAAAACAGAACACTTTGAACTTTTATAATTGTTGTTGTGTATATTATTCTGTCATGTCTCTGGAGATTTTTTTAAAAAATCAAATTCATGCCATTTTTTTTTTAATCATAAAAACTAAAGTATTAGATCTTAAGGGGGCTCGCGGGTGGATTTCAGCCTGACAGATATCATTTTTTTGGTAAAATATCGAAATCGAGGTTTTACCATTTTTTGAAAGTCGAATCATTCTTCTTCACAATGGTATCGGTCATAATGTTGAAAAACGGTCACAAAAGTGTTTTCAACAGGCATTTTAGAGACACCCCCTCTGCCAAAATGTCAGCCGGGAAGCGAAATGTTGAAGCAAATTCACAAAAGAGCAATGTTTGGACCATAGCAACGGCCTTACAATTGTATACAAACATAGCCGTGTTATATACCGTTTGAAAGAGCAGGATTTCAACCGACGAATAGTAATCGAGTCAACCACATGAATCGATTACAGAATGAACCAATTGCATTCAAATGAGACATGCGCTCCAAAAAATGCTTCACTCTGGTTGGTCTTCAGCTTCGGATGTCTGAGTTGCCACCGTGTAGCGCTTTTCGGAAAACCCGATCCACATTTCGAAACCTCTAATCACCATGCTTTGGGATTTTTTTATATGATATTTTATTCAAATAAAAAATTCATTTATGAATATTGATAAATAAAACATTTTGATAAAATTACATTCGTTTTACTTGAGACTGTTAAATGTTCCGATGTTGACAGTACTACGATACACCTCGCGCGTACTCATACCTGGCATATTATGGTCAACGCCATAAGCCATTGATAAAGACAGTCGAAGTGAAACAAAGCGAGTTACTGCATTGTTTACAATCTGTTCACATTCTACAAGATGCCGAGAGTCGCTAAAACTTTCGCTTTTGGTCGAAAGAAGAGACGTGGTCCTAATACTAAGCCAAGAGGGAGGCATGCCACCACGCAGGTGTGTGAAAATGGAGTGGAAACAACCGAAGATGTCGACATGGATGAACCTACTTCGCCAGTTCAGCCTCTTGCTGTGAATGAATTCGGTCCATCATCTTCAGGCCCTCAAATTGACAGGTAAGAAAATATCATGATCGTTATTTAGATCTAGAGTCTAGATCTGGATTTATTCATTCTAGATCTACAAACTGGTTTCTTATATCACTCAAGCTCCCCAATCTAATAAATCTAGATTAGATCTAGATCTACAGTCTTGATCTAAATTATACTTCTCTGTAAAATTGCACTGTGTGAGGTTCTAGTATAGATCTAGATTTATGGGTGAAGGATCACACAGAGGAAGAAAACAATTGTGTGCTCAGCTATATGCAGATCTGAGTTATGCAAATATTTCTGGAGAGGGTGGTGTGAGCACAAGTTATTATTGTGTTGAATGTTCTCAAAGACAGAAAGAAAGTTGTAAGTGTAGATCTGGTACTTTTCAAGTAGCCTAATGACCTAATGCCATGCTTTTCTACAATTTTGCATGTATCACACAATGCAAAATTATATTGCTTTGACTTTCTAAGGACTGTAGTTCTAACGCAATGTCTAATTTTATTTTCTGCAACAGTGAGCCAGCTCCCGTTGAAGACGACGAGGAAACAGAAACCCAAACAAATTCATCGCCGTGTGAGCAGAAGATGTCAGCCTTCGTAGATCATTCTTCGTCCCCTGATCCTGAAGCAGAGCGATACTACCTTGTACAATCGTCGTTTTTTCTCGCTATGCTAGATATTATTGTATGCCCCATCTGCTTTGGCTCCGATCTATCCCTTGATGCGTCAAGCGACATCGGTATGGCTTGTCGTTTTACTGTGGAATGCAATACATGCCAGAAACCAGTCTGGTCAAAGTGCACTTCGCCGAAATCAACACGTCGACACGACATCAACGTCCGTGCGGTCGTAGCCTCTAAGGAGTGCGGTGTGCCGCTGAGCACCATGAAGACGATGTTCAGCATCATGAACATGCCCAACGTCATGCACCACAAGACGTTCTATGAAATCGGCCTAGAAGTGAGAGAGGCTGCCATCGGTGCTGCAGAGGAAGTTATGTCGGCTTCTGCCCGAGTCATCAAAGAACGTCATCAATCCAACGTGTACACAACTGAACGATCAAGTCCGTCTGGCGTTCAGGTTGTCAACGTTTCCTACGACGGCACGTGGCACAAGCGAGGTCACTCGTCACACTATGGAGTAGGTGTGGCGATTGATGTGGACAGTGGGTATGTACTGGACACATATACAGTATCTAATTTCTGCACAGGGTGTACTCGTGCGCCAGATCCCGACTCCCCACAGTACTTGTCCTGGTTCGAACGGCACAAACCTTTGTGTAACAAAAATTTTGAAGGCTCCTCTAACGCAATGGAGACTAGAGCAGCTGAGGTGATCTTCAGTCGGTCAATTGAGTGCCGTGGGCTGATATATGGCACTATGTTGTGTGATGGTGACAGCAAGGCACTGACACGTGTCAACGACCTTGGTGTCTACGACATTCCGGTGCAGAAGGAAGACTGCGTAAATCATATAGCCAAACGCATCTACAATCAGTTAGAACAGGTTAAAAAAGACAACAAGCAGAAGCTCAACAGGAAACTGACCGCTGCCAAAATAAAAAAAATCACAAACACTTACGCCACGAATCTGAGACAGAATGCCCCTGATATTCAGAAGATGAAGTTGGGTGTTATGGGTGGCCTGTTCCACATGATGTCCACGGACAGCGCCCCGAACCATCGTTTGTGCCCAGAGGGTGAAACATCATGGTGCAAGCACAACCGTGCCCTCGCCAAGGGTGAACAGCCCCCTCCCCACAACCCAACCTTATCACCTGATATAGGGACTTACGTATTCCCCATTTTCAAGAGGCTGACTGACCCAGCACTCCTCTCTAGGTGTGTCAGAATGTCTACGCAGAACCCAAATGAATGTTTTAATTCGACAATTTGGAGACGTTGCCCCAAGGTGCTTTTCGCCCACCTCCCAACCATTGAAACAGCTGTGGCGTTAAGTGTAATTTCGTTTAACATGGGACCTACAGGACTATACAAAGTCTTCGAAAGACTCGGCCTGACCTGGGGAGCTGTGACAAATTCGCATGCCATTGGAGTAGCAGAGACAAGAATTCGTCACTCCAAGAGGAAAGGAAAGAACATTTCGAAGTGGAAACGAAAGCACCTTCAACAGAACCACCTCAACGAGAAGGACAAGAGAGAGGAAAGGGAGGGTGTCACCTACTCTTCAGGGGCTTTCAACTGTTAAGGTAGGCCCAGAACACTAGTT